ATGCTCCGGCGAAAGACGTCGTGTCTGCTTGTGATGGTTCGTCTCAACATGCTCATCTTTAAGTCTGGAGATAGCAGTCTGAGGTGTAAGGTAAACGATGGAAACATTTCTTGCGTCACAGGACGATTGGAAGGAGGAGAGGTGACATTACTTCATGTGTCGTTCTATTGGCCCAAACGCCTGAAGGTGGGTCCTCTCCCGATCATCCATCGTCCGACTGCGAAGGAACTGTCCGTCCGCGCCGTCCTAGGCACTGTCCCTTCCGTGTAACCTCCTCGCATATCTTCCTTCCCGCGTACTTCCTTCCAAATTTGCCATCCAAACGTTGAAAATCTTCTCAAGGAAATGATCCAAACTCCTGCAAGACCTACAGACAATGCCAAAGTCCAATCCACGTTTCCGCATTGAGACAATGGTTGACTTGGCGATTTCGAGAGGCTCTAGCCATCGCCGATGTCTATCTCTCAATTTATCGCATGACAGAAGCTCGCACTTGCACCATGGGCTATGGTAACGCCCGAATATCTGGTACTGCATTAAGTTTGATGAATCTAAGAATGGTATACAGCCATCTTCTTTTGATTTGAGAAAAAGAAGAAGCGCGTCAGCGTTGAAGCCGTGAGGGTCGTGCTTGTATGAGTATCAGCACTTCTTTTCCTAGGTTTATCTTCGCCCATCATTTCGAAGTGTAGTTTCGCCGAATCGTCTTGATCTTGAAGCTGGTCATGCTGCAGGGATCTCTATTCAGCTCTACATCAGGCTCCGGCTTCCTTGATGATCGACATAACACCACCCGAGGGGATGGCCCGACTAGATGGGCCCGTTTTTGCTTTTCAATCGATCCCCTGAGGGACTTTCCCCAGTATTGAAGCTGGATCTACGAAGATGCCGAAGATTTCAAGTGATTTCAGCTGGAGTCTTGCGCATGAAACAGTGAATGATCAGAGTCAGATATAGCAAACATCATCGACAAATTTGAAATGTCCAACAGGACGGTACGCCAAAGAAATTAGCCCGCCGTGAAAGCCGATGGCTTGTGACGATCGACGGTTTGATTGCGCGAGCTGAGTCAACTTCAGATGAAGGAGGGGCAGCTGTCGGAATAAGAAAGTTGAGTCTCTCTGCAAAACAGTCTTCCATGAGTCTCTACGCTGTGGAATAGGGCGAAGAAGAAGGACTTGCGAGCTAGAAGACTTGCAACGCGTTCTAGTGTATTTTCAGACACATTGCTGTGGGTAAGGGAACGCCAAGAATACGAACTCGTAGGTTGAGGTGGTCTCCGCAACTCTCACTTACAACACGATCTCGTGCCACTTTGTGTCTCGCTGGACTGAGGTGCTCCAGATATATGCGTGGAGTACTCGAGAAACATCATCAAAATGGCAGAAGAAACGAGTTTGGTAATGTAGAATGGATATAATACTTGACGGGATCGAGTCTTTTGGTGCCTAGTCATGCGCTGGTGAGTCCTCAGTGACTCCCTCCTTTCACTCTTTTCTCATTGTCCGTATACATCGTCAACACCGTCAAGGCCGGGCGACTAAGCCTTGCGTCCATTCGTTTGATCAAGACGTTCACTTGGAAGAGCTCTTTCTCACTCTCATTAATCAGAAAGCTTTTGACCTTTTTTTTCTTCTTTCCTTTCGCTGATTCGTAGTCAATAACTTCCACTTCATCATATTTTTTTTTGTGTTCATACACTTTGGAAGGGCATTTGTTCTTGAGCCCTGACGACGACGATTCTATTCTTAATATTACCCAGGGCGCGTTTCGACTTCAACCATGATGAATTCGACGTTGGCGTTGCTGCTATTCTTATCTTGGGTGTTGCTTCCCATTTCGAACGCCCTACACATCACCGACGAGACTATCGACAAGTTCCTCCTCGAAGAGTATGACTACATCGTCGTCGGCGGTGGTCTCTCAGGCTTGGTCGTCGCCAACCGTCTGAGCGAGGATAAAAACAGTAAGTTTCTTTCTCCTTCATCGTCATTCGCGCGCGCGCGCCTTGACAAAGCTGACCATACGCCAGCGACTGTCCTCGTGATCGAGTCTGGCGAGCTCGACGGACGGGAGAGCAGGGTCATCGCGCCCGGCTACATCGGCCTCACACCGCCCTCGCCATACGGCAAGAGCGTCACGACGGCTCCTCAGACGTTTCTCGATGGCAAGACGCGCGGGATCAGCCAGGGCAGAGTCATTGGCGGCGGTTCCGTCACGAATGGCATGTGCTGGACCAGAGGATCGGCAGCGGACTTTGATGCTTGGGAAGAGCTGGGAAATCGAGGATGGGGATGGAAGAGCCTTCTTCCCTACTTCAAGAAGGTGAGTTTGATGAAATTCACATGAAGATGACAGTAAAGGAATGAGAACTTCAAGACTGACGGAAAATACAGGTTGAGACGTATACCACAAATATTGATCAAAATACCCAGGACCGCCTCAACATTCACCCGGATATGTCGGTTCATGGCACAGAAGGACCCATCAATGTCGCTTACCCTGAATACTTCTATAACTCGTCGGGTACAGTCCTCTCACCATCCAGTCTGGTTCATTATTCTGACTTTCTCACAGATCATGTCATTCACGGGCTGTCAGAGATGGGCATCCACCTCTCGGGCGACCTTAACACGGGCGACCCTACAGGAGCCATGATGGTCCCGTCCAGCATGTCTCCTACCAACCAGACCCGCTCCGATGCAAGAACAGGCTACTTCGATCCGGCCATCTCGCGTTCAAACCTGCACGTCGTTACCGGGCAGACCGCGACGCGTCTCATTGTGGGCTTGCCCGGCTCGCTCGCCAAGGAGGGAACCCGTCGTCGAGTCATTGGGGTTGATGTAAGTCATCATCCGTTCTCCTATGATGGGGTCTCGGATCCATGGCGACCTATTGACTAGCTGTCTGTAGTTCTCATCTGAGCCCCTTGGCATCAACAGAACAATCACTACCAAAAGGGAGGTCATCTTGGCTGCCGGCGCGATTCAGTCGCCCACGCTGCTTCAGGTTTCGGGCATTGGTCCCCGCAAAGTCTTGGAGTCATTGAATATCTCTGTACAGATCGACCTGCCAGGTGTCGGAAACAACTTTCAGGATCATCCCATGGCCCAATTTGAATTCGACTGTGAGCCCTGTCGTCATTCTTCTCACTGCCTCGCAAGATGACCATGTAGCTGACTCGAACTACAGACTCCAACTCATCCATTTTCACTTCTCGCGACCTCACCGGCGCCGCCTTCGACAATGCACTCACCACCTTTGTCACAAACCACACCGGTACGTCAATACTCTCAAAACTACTTACACCATCATCTCTAACATTTCCAATAGGCCCTTTGACTGCTCCCTTGATCAACACAGTCGCCTTCCCAAGCCTCCAATACCACGCATCCGAATGGAAACCCCTCCTCCAGCACGCCACAAACCAATCCTCCTTCACCTTCCTCCCGCTCGACACGCCACCCACGGTACAATCCGGCTACACCCGCCAAAAGAGCCTCGTCCTCTCCCACCTAGCCCGCCCGGACGTCGGCGCCTACGAGCTCCTCGCCGCCTCCTGGGGCCAAATGTCTATCGCCAACCAGAAGCCCCTGTCTCGCGGCACCGTCTGCCCCCGCTCAGCCTCAATCTTTGACGGACCCGTGGTTGACCCTCGTTATTGTGCCGACCCTCTCGACTGCAAAATCATCCGTCTCGGCCTACAACTCATCCAACGCCTCATGCGCACGGAGGCAATGACGCCTCTCCAGCCCATTGTGGAGGATCCGCGTTTGAACTCGACGGACGAGACGGAGCTCATGGCGGCGCTGAAGCCGCTCGTCGGCACCGAGTATCACCCCAGCGGTACGACGAGCATGATGCCGCTGGAGCTGGGCGGGGTCGTGGACGCGGAGCTGATGGTGTACGGGACGTGCAACCTGCGCGTTGTCGATGCCGGGATCATGCCGCTCGTTCCGGGGGCGCATATTCAGGCTGCTGTGTATGCTGTTGCTGAGAAGGCTGCGGATATCATCAAGGCTGCTGCGGGCGGACCGGACTTGTGTCCTTTTGGTCGGCCGGAGTGGCCGCCTGTGTAAGGGGCTGGATCGTTGAAGATTGAGGATTGTGGAATGAGTGTGGTGGATCACAGGCCAGGATGGCAGAGAGACTATGATTAATTGAACTTCATGATCGATTCAACGTCGATAGTAATGATAATCAGGTGGTCGATCGATCATATTAACTGACTATTGGTTGACTGAAATAACCAATTGCTCTCGTGGTGACCCTGAGATATAAGCTCAAAACTCCCACCACAATGCCGCATTCACCAAGATACCTATGAAAGAGGGACAAAAAGAGTTCACCCCCCCGGTGCTGAACTGAGGGCTACATCTCTTGGTGCTCATGCTGGGATTCGAACTCGGGTACTATCGTATGCGCTAAGCCTGTCGTCGAGTAGGCTGGTTGGTGTAGATAATTGATTGTTGACCATTAACCACTCCACCACCCAGCCAGTTTGACCTGACCCGTCGACCTAGACGGGCGCATGCTGGCTGGTGACAGGATTGGGATTGAGGGGGTATATAAAGGTATACGCTGGGCAGGCGAGACCGGAATACTCGTGCGTCTGGCCGTACCTGCCTTACACTGACTACGCTGTGTATACCGTATACGCTCCTCAAAGCTTTGCACGCCAGTCCGAAGAGCGATCTATCTTGCGGACACAAGAGCTGTTACTTTACTTTCTTGTGGTCTTGTAGAAAATCAACGCCGAATGAAAGCTGCATGAAGGAGTGTTGAAGCCCATCATCAACGGTCCAGGATTTCTACTCGGCCCTAGACGTGTCAGAGATGCAGAGTGTCGCAGATATCACTCTAATACCCGACCTTGACGCAAAGCAAAGTACTGACGATGCGTAAACAACCAAGACTTGAATGAATGTAGGAATCGGACTTAATTATATTCATCACAACCCCATATCTAGTCCAAAGAAAGAGACCGCCTTGGCTCCCGCTTACAACCCCTTCATAAACTCCAGCAACGAAATCGGCTTCCTGACAGCATTGTTCAATCCTTCATGGTACGTAACCCAGACCTTGTTATCACTCTTCCCGCCCTCGTGGTGATCGTGCGTCTTCTTCCTCTTGGCGTTGCCATCCATCTCGCCCAGCGGCCTTGCAGGAATCACACGCCCGAAAAAGTCCTTCTTCACGCTCGACGCGAGGATCCTCTCCTGCTCCTTGATCATGTTCTCCTTATCCGCCCGTTGTTGCTGCTGCGAAGGTGTATCCTCTGCCCCTCCCAGTGGTCCACCAACCTTGAAGCGCGCCTGGCGGGCCGCGGCTTCGCGTAAGATAATGGTCTTTTGTAGTTCCTGGTCTAGCACCTGGCGGACGGCGTATCGGGTCGGTGCTTGGCTGGAGAGTACCAGGTTCCCTGCCGTCTCGTACACCGCGAGGGCATCGAGATCACTATTTGGGACTTTGTTAGCAGAATTCCCACCAAAAGTAGTTCACAAGAGGAGAATAGTAACTCACGGTTCCATGCGGTACACCCACTGCGGCCCCCTATTAACCAACGAATCCGTCTCGATCTTGCCCTTCTGCATCTCGATCCCGACCTCCGCCATAATCTCCGCCGCCCGCTTGACCATGATCTTCTCCGTCTCTTTCCGCACGCTAGCCGTGCTGATGCCGCTGCCGCCAATGACTACCGGCTTGACGTCCGGCGACACCATCCGGACCAAGTACGGCATGAACTCGGTCGAGATGTCTTCAGCGCTCCGGAAGGACCGCCCCAGCGTGGGCGTAAGCTGCGCCTGGATGGCCTGGAGCATGGCCCTGTTCTGCTTCTGCGCTTCAAAAGCGGCATAATCAGCTCGGGGGCCCGAGAACGGCACAGGAGGCTCGCTGTCCTCCTCTGTGGCGCCCCATTTTTTGTCGTAGCCTTTGTTGACTTGATGTCGCTTGGACGAGGCGAACAAGCTGTGGCAGGCCAAGATCGGTTGGCTCAGGTACGGCGCCAATTCCCACTCCTGACTTCCAAATGTGCGTGACGAGCAGGTGTCGAGAAAGTTCATCCAGTCGTACGCCGCATTCGGCTTTGAGAGGAACGAGTCGTCGTTAAATTCTCGGTTTGGGTACTCCAGGAAGACGTCTGTCATGACGCGCTCGACCTCTCCGCTGGTGTCAATCATGTGTCGCAACCGCTCCATTGCGTTCTTCTTGTGATACTCCGCAAAGCCCAACTGAGCCTTGGGTTGCTCGTGCTGGTTCTTGAAGTTTTGTGATGTGTCCAGGGCTTGTTTCGGGAAGCCACCGCCTTCTTGAAAGACGCGCGACACGATGTCCTTTGCACTCCCTCTCCCGAGCCCTCTAGCTCCTCCAGCGCCTTCTGTAAGGTCGTGCATCACATTTTGGTCTAGCCATTGCCTTGTCAAGCGCTCGTTGAAGCCGGCGGCAGCTTTGAAGCGCCCGGCTACCCATTCGCCGACGACCATAACTCCTCGAAGATCGCCTTCAGCTCCGCTCTCTGCGCCGCGCTTGGCATCGATGCCACTCGTCATGCCCCAGGCGGCTTCACAAACCTTGCGCGCCGCATCCTTCTCACAGGGTATACCCTCCTTGTCGAATACGGTCTTGAGGCGTGTGACGACTGCATCAATGCCCGGCTTGCCGACGTGGATTACCTCCGCCATGCCCGACTGCCGAAGAGGCCTGAGAGAGGGGTGGTAGACATCGTTGCAGATGAGGATAAGAGGGCGCAGGAGGCGAAAGTCGTCCCCCTTTTTCTTTTTCTTGGAGTACGAGGAATCGGATCCGCCAGCACTATTCTTTTGATCGATGAGTACGAGGTCAATCAAAGCCTTAACGAAACCACCCTCCCCTGAAGCGCCGGATCCACCCACGACACCGTCGACCTCATCAACAATGACGCAAGCCGGTTTGGCAACCTTTTGCTGTACCTCTCCATCTTTGGACTTGACGTTCTCGACAGTCTTGACACTCTCGGTTCCTAGGGACGTTCGTATCCGGTTCTTGACGACGTCTCGGCTGCGGTCGTCGCTGGCGTTGATCTCCATCACTTCGTACCCCGCTTGTCTCGCACAGACGTGAGCCAGAGTCGTCTTGCCGAGACCCGGTGGTCCCGTCAGCATAAGAATCTTCTTGTGCGGCTTCTCCTCTTCTTGGACCTGTTTCGCGCCTGGCCTTCGTACGATTGGAGCCTTCTTCGCAATACCGGGGAATACGATTGGGTCCCATCGCTTCAGCCAGCGCAGGACCATACGATTTGTACCATCGTCACCGCAAAGATCCAGAAAGTTCTTCGCCCTGTATTTTTCGGTCCACAGGAGGGTCTTCTTTTGAGATTTGCCAGTGTGTGTCGGCTCGACTGACCGCACTGGGACATCACTTTCCTTTCTCTTTGGGTGTGGTTCTGAAGCTTCGCTCTTGGCCTTGTCGATGAGCTCATTGATAGCTATGCCGTAGTATGCGCGCTTAGCTTTTCCCTCTTTTGTCTTGGACCGCGCCGCAATGATGCTTTCGTATGATGCGTTGGCTGTCGGCTTTCGTTGCTTGATTGTGGTAGTTGTCCCGTTACAGGTAGTGAGATTGAAGGTCCTCGAAGATTTAAAGATCGATGGAGTGTCCTGGAGTAATGATGATGCAAGGCTTTGAGGTCGGGCAGGAGGAGGGACATTTCGTGTAGGCGCAACCTCAACACGGTCATTCGTCTTTTCAGGTGCTTGGGCTATCGGCTCGAGGACATCGTCGTCCGATAGGGAGGTTATGGGCGCTGGACGTTGCAAGCGGGCGCTAAAATCGAGGAGTTGCTTTTTTAGGGGAGGCTGCTGCTCGTTGTTGTCGTCGGAATCGGAATCATCGTCAAGAAGGAAACCACTGTTGACCTTTGGCTTTGATTTCGTCGGATCAGCCGCCGGGGCCCTTGGGCGTTTCGCTGCGGGCGGTGATGGGCTGGCGGGAAATGTGACGGGTGAAGATGCGCTGGGCATTTTGGAGGAGAGCCCAATTGAGCTCGAACGGTTCAGTTCTCTTGTTTGCTAGTTGCGGCAATGTTAAGTGCTGCGCTGAGTGCCTCAATTGCAGTCTGGCAGTTTGGTGTTTCTACAGTGACAATTATTCTTGAGAGGGGAGACGCGACTCGACGCGACGACCCTGGACGCGTTAATGATTTGGCGGGGGTTCCTGGACTTGCTCCGAGCTCCTTGGTGTACCGTGCTAATTGCGAGCTTGCCAAATCAGGCACTGTCTTCACGATGAGGGAGTAACACGATCTGTAGCTTCCGCTGACTTGATAAGTTACATCCAAACGCTTAGATCAAGATATGAAAGACATGCCCTATTTTTCTCTTTCATACTGATGAGTCTTTACCTCATCTCATCAAGATCCAGACTTCTATAGGAGTCTTGTGTCAGGTACCTCGCTCCGCAATGACGCACACTGGGGACCTGAAGCTGAGTTCAAAGTGAGAGCAACTTACAATAATTGGCCTGTTGGAACGCTCAATTCATTGCGATATGGTCGCTATTTCATATTCAGCTCTCACTTGTAGCTCCCATATTTTTCAATATTTCCCGATACGAGTCCGCCTCAGCCACCATCTCCTCCATACTCCTCGCCTTCCTCATCGCATCCTCAATCCTCGCAAACTTCCCTCCCGCCTCCGGCCTCCTCCCTAACTCCGCATCCCACAACGCGCCACCAACGTTGCCATCTTCAGCAGACATCTGCTCATAAATCTCATCTCTCGGCCCTTCCCCATCCTTGCCCGTCTCGCCGGGGACGCGCGGGATGATGTGAACGTGGACGTGCGACACCGTCTGCCCCGCGTCGGCGCCGTCCTGGACCGCAATGTTAAACGACCCGGCCTCCGGCGCCGCCGGTTCTGATCTGGACGTGGCGTTGGAGAAGTAGCGACGCGCCAGCATCTTTTGGATGAGCTGTGTCGTCGTGAAGAGGTCCGTCACCTCAGCGGGCTGGAGATCCGTGAGGCGTTTGTGAGCCTGGAGGGGGCAGACGAGGACGTGGCCTGGGAGGAGGGGCTTGAGGTTGACCAGGGCGAAGGAGTGCGCCGTCTTGTAGAAGACCTGGTCTCGTGTTAGTCTATGAGTGTAGCTGTGATGCCCGAGTTCAGGTTTCTTGAAATTGAAATGAAGTAGTGCTCATGTCGCATCCATAAAACGTGCCCATAGCAAGATTGTATGAGATGCCGCAAGGCCAATTTAAGATTGACGCATAACGGGATGTCATTGACTGTGATGAAATGCAACTGACCTGGCTGGTGACCTCAAACGGCCCGAAATGAATCTTATCTTGAGAGCTCATATTTCGTCGGATATCGAGGGTTTGAGCTCGAAATACCTTCTGTGCCAAAGGCCGTGTCTTACACATAGCCAATCGTCAACTATGTAAGCGTGATGGAGTCGATTTGTAGCTTCACTAAGAGCAGATTGATTGAGGGCGATCGTTGGTGGAGCTAGGTTTGGAAATTGTTAGCACATCTCAAAAATACAGTGGCGTCATCATCACAGGCAAAGTCCCCTTCAACATTTCGATCCTTGCTTCTTTGCAGTTGGGCATTTCGCACTCATCACACATGTCCAATTCGGATACAGATTGTTCGTGCAGCTGCGGGCGACACTTTGTGCATGAATGGTAGAAAAGATTTGAGAGTTGATGTACTTTTGAATTCGCCTCCCTCCGAATGCCACTTAAGACCCTAGCAGATCCCCGGTTCCTGATATAATACACAATTACATGACGCAAATTAGATGCGACTCATTCTTTATTGGGCAAGAGTCTTCTCCTGCGCGGGGAGGAGCTTCGATTGCTGTCCCGCAAAGAACTTCTTCGACTCCAAGCATCGCTCGCTCTTGCAGCCAGGGCACCGCAACTCCATCTGCGGCGAGCAGGCTACACTGCTGTCGAGATGAGCCTTGGCAATGTCGGCAAGAGCCTTGATGAAGACAGGGCTGCCGTTCAAACTCTCCACTCTCTTGACCGTCTCCGGGCTTCCAGAGTCAGCGATGACTTCAAGGTCCAGCTCGAACAAAGTCTCGATGTGGTCTGATGTGAAGGCAATGGGAATCAACACAAGGTCCTTCTGGCCCTTGTGGACGTAGTTCTCAACCGAGTCGGAGGTCTGGGGTCCTAGCCAGGCGGATGGGCCGACCTGGGACTGCCAGCAGAGGCGGTAGGGGTTGGAGAACTTGAGGCGCTGCATGACAGCGTACACGGTCGCGGCAACTTCGGCCGGGTAAGGGTCGCCTCTATTGACCACAGACATGGGCAAGCTGTGGGCGGAGAAGATCAGGACGGCGTCCTTGCGTCTTTCCTCGGGGTATTCCAACAACTTCGCCTCAATGTTCTGTGCAAACGCCTCGACCAGGCCCGGGTGTACCGGCCAGCGATCGATCACACTCCATGAAATGGTACCGTCGCCGGGTGTCGTCTCTCCGACGGCCTTGCCCTCCAGCCTTTGCCTCCACTTCCACAACTCGTTGATGCTGCTTCCTGTCGTTGAGCAGGAGTACTGGGGGTATTGTGTGAATGCAACAGCTCTTCCGCCTCTTCCCTTTCCAAAGCCATCTTCGAACAGCTTGTTGTACATCTCCTCGGTCAGAGGGTCGGCGTAGCGGAAAGCTGTATACGGCTTGTGTGGCGCTGTCTCGGGTGAGATCTCATCGAGAATCTTGCACATCTCGGCGTTCTGATACTCAGACCACTTGCGAATAGGTGAGCCGCCACCAATATCGGCGTATTGCTTCTGGATCTTGGGAGTCCGTCGCTTCGAAATCAGGGGACCGAGGTAGTTCTGGAAACGGCCAAGGGGAATCAAGTCGCCATCTGCCTACGCATCGTTAGCTTGCGTCGCAAAATGTGGAATGACGATAGACCTACAAAGAGCCTGCTCAGAAAGTCTCCCACTTCGTCCGTCGTTGAAGGGCCACCCATGTTCATGAATACCATCGCCGTCGGTCCCTTGGATCCAGCAGAGTTTTGCGTCACAGGTGGTACGACCGTCGCCATTGATCTAAGCTGTGCAGCCGACTGCTTCGGCAGTGCCATGGTGAGAGGCGATGAGGCATTGCGCGCAGATGTCGTCGCCTTGGACAAGCTCCGCGAGAGCTGTCCTGTAGAGTACTTGAACGCCATTAGATCGTAACACTGGTCGAATGTGAATACACGACAAGGAAAGAGTGCAGTGCGAAGGAAAAACGTGGTTAATGTTCAAGTGGCTCTAGATTCTCGCACTTGTGGCAATCCGCGAACCCCGGTGATGCGTCGATGCTGGGCGACACTTTGAGGAATTCGGGCTTCGATGACGAAGGAAATCCCGATCTGGACAGCAGCCCACTGAGCACCGAGCAGGACCCCTGTGAGGCCGAGAAGATACCTCGATACTTACAGAATCCCCTGTTCTAGCACTGTATCAACTGGTGCCTGGGTACTCCCCTAACCCGCAGTCGAATTGGCCAATCAGACACTGCGTAATCCAGAATCACGGCAATAACGGTCACGTGGTCGCGCGCTGTGACCAGGAGCTCCTGCGAGCTTAGCGCGCGAGCTTCCAGCTGCGCGAAGGCCCCAGTCGCGTTGGCTGCCTGGAGCGACGCCTGGTAGCTAACCTGCAAGTGCTTGCTATATCCATCCGCTTCACAACCAGCGCAGCGAAACACATCCCATCTTCTCTTCGTACACATTTTGAGTGAATTTTCAAAGATGGCTGATCGCGGACACTTCAAAAGAGAGGATGAGGATGAGGATGATGCTGAGGAGGAGCTTGATGAGACCGTGAGTCCTATGCACTGTGGATCATGACTTATAACTGACCTGTCGCAGGACTTCAAGGCTCAAAAAGATGCCATTTTGCTCGCCATTGACGTGAGCTCATCAATGCTGCAGCATCCGCCCGCAACAAACTCCAAGAAGGCCGATAGGGACAGTGCCGTCGAGGCAGCTTTGAAATGCGCCTACCATCTTATGCAGCAGCGCATTATCTCTAACCCCAAAGACATGATGGGCATTCTCTTCTTCGGCACGGAAAAGTCAAAGTTTCAAGAAGAAAGCGGTCGAGCAGGCTTGGGCTACCCGCACTGCTACTTGTTCGCAGACCTCGACGTTCCCGCTGCTGAAGATGTCAAGGCACTAAAGACCTTGGTCGGCGCGGATGGAGAAGAGGCCGAAGATGAAGATGAGGTGCTAGTGCCGGCGGAGGAAGAAGTCCAGATGGCCAACGTCTTCTTCTGCGCAAACCAAATCTTCACTACTAAGGCGGCGAACTTTGGCAGCAGACGACTCTTCATCATCACAGACAATGATGACCCACACGGCAAGAACAAGGATGCCAAATCGGCTGCGGCTGTCCGTGCAAAAGACTTGTACGATCTTGGAGTTGTGATCGAGCTTTTCCCCATTACCAGAGACGAGAGGAAGTTCGACCTCGGCAAATTTTACGATGTAAGTACTGAGCCGTTCGATTGGAGTGGGCAGAAAGCTGACCGTGCAGGACATCATCTATCGAGACCTAGTTGCAGAGGCCAATCTCTCCGAAACCAGAAACTCAAAGTCCGGCGATGGCCTCAGTCTCCTCAACTCATTAATATCAAACATCAACTCCAAAGAAACGCCCAAGCGCTCCCTATTCTCTAACCTCCCCTTCGAGATCGCCCCTGGGCTCAGAATCTCGGTCAAGGGATACAATATTCTTCATCGTCAGACCCCAGCAAGAACATCATACATCTGGCTAGACGGTGAGAAGCCTCAGCTCGCCAACGGCGAAACGACACGGATCGCCGAGGATAGTGCCCGGACGGTTGAAAAGGTCGAGTTCAAGAAGGCTTACAAATTTGGCGGCGAATACGTGCACTTTGCACCAGAGGAGCAGAAGTCTCTCAAAGACTTCGGATCCCCCATCATCCGCATTATCGGTTTCAAGCCGCGCTCTATGCTTCCCTTTTGGGCGAGTATCAAGAAATCAACATTCATCTTCCCATCAGAGGAGGACTATGTCGGCTCGACTCGTGTCTTCAGTGCTCTTTGGCAAAAGCTGCTAAAAGACAAGAAGATCGGCATCGCATGGGCTGTCACCCGTGTCAACGCTAGCCCAATTCTCGTCGCCATCATCCCTTCCCATGAGAAGTCTGAAGACGATCCAGGAACGCCCTATCTACCCGCCGGTCTTTGGCTCTACCCGCTTCCTTTCGCTGACGACCTACGCGAAGGCCCCGAGCCCCCAAGTAATCACGTCGTAAGTTCCAACGAGCTTATCGACAAGATGCGCATCATCGTCCAGCAGCTACAGCTACCAAAGGCCATGTACAACCCCAAGAAATACCCCAACCCGTCGCTGCAATGGCACTACAAGATCCTCCAGGTCTTGGCTCTCGAGGAGGAGTACCCTGAAAAGGCGGAAGATCTCACCGAGCCAAAATACAAAGCCATCAGCAAGCGTGCCGGCGGTTACCTGGATGACTGGGCCGAGACCCTACAGGACGAGACCAAGATCGCGCTGGCAAAGGCTGCGATCAAGCGCGAGGCGGACGAAGGTGACGATGAGAGGCCTGCCAAGAGAGCAAAGGCTGCGCCGAAAGCTGCAAAGGTTTCCGGGTCTGGCATGACGACGGCGCAGCTTAAGGCTGCTGTGGACAGTGGTGGATTGAGCAAGATGCTAGTCGCAGATCTCAAGGAGCTGCTTGCCGCGAGGGGACAGAGCACGGCAGGCAAGAAGAGCGAGCTGGTGGAGAGAATCGAGGAATGGGTTGAGGAGAATGCTTGATGTTACAGATGACGACTTTGCGATGAAAATGTATTATACCACTTGATGACGAGTCAACGGCAGGCTTATTTATTCCCCCGGGAGCTATCCACAAGTACGCCATGCTCAAAATTGTCATCCTGATTGTTTTGCCGATCGACCAGGTTTTTGAACATCATATTCTTCTATTTCTTCCCACACACCTGAGCTTACCGACTACGAGCTCCAGCTCGCCAACCCGGATGCTGTTCAGGTGGCTCAAGCCTCCTTGCTACGCCGCGCGGTTGCCCAAGAAGCTGTCAGCGACGAGCAGGCGCCCAGTCATAATCAAAGGTGAAAGCCAGAATGCCCCGCCAAGCCTCTGTCAGCACAACATGAATCCTGCCAGCTCTCTAGACCTGGGCGACACATTCGGATCCTTCTTCTGCAAGCGAGCAGCGAATATGCAGGCCAGCATTGCAAGGTGCCCTTCAATTGGTTTTGCGGCTCAGCTTGTGACATGCTCTCCCACCCTTTCTGCAACAGCTCATTACCTGCCAGCCTGATGACAGTATATATCACACCTAACAAAGTAGGTCACGTTTGCCACTCCGTATGTTCACTTATTTCATTCGCGCCTCATATCCTCATATACTCCCGAGGCTTGGAACTTGGCTTTCTTTCCACCCTGGCAACTTTTATTTTCCACTCGGCATTACATAGGCTCCAAAAAACCGACTGTTCATATTCGATCTACGATCGCGGCAATTCTTACTCGCAAACAAAACTTGCCGACCATGGACACGTCCGGAGAGGCCAGACGCGAGGCCTCGTCAAACTCTACCAAAAGAGAATCAAGACTCTTGCAGTGGCCTCCACAAAGGCTCAAGAATGGTCTATCGAAACCATCAGAACTTCTGCTTGGTATCTTTTCTTTACTCATGGTGATTGTTATTATGACATACATCGGTATCTTGCTCCTAAATGATGGCCGAGACATAGAGAGTCTCTCGACGATGTGGAAGTTCGCTAGCGAATTTTCCCGGCTCGTAAGAATCATTGCTTCCGATAAGAATTCACTGTCAGTACTAACGATGTTCTCAGGGCCCTACGGCGGTACCCTTGATGTTTGCCTTCGTCATCGGCAGGGCTGTCAGGAGCTATGGGCATTGGAGACTCCAAAGAGGAGAGCGCATCGGGACCTTAGACAGCCTCTTCGGGTCGACCACATTGACCGGCACGATCACCACTATAATCGATCTGAAGAGGATCGGGGGCTTAGGAGGCTTGCTAGTGGTCATTTGGTCCCTGTCGCCACTGGGAGGACAAGCAGCACTTCGAGTCCTGACTCCGCGGGTCGAGGAAATATCGTTTCTCACGACCTTGCCATACCTAAATAATACTGTCGTCGGGTTCCCTTCGAGATACATGGCGGCGGGGATGGCAGGTCAACAGATTCCCATCAACGCGTTGGTCCTGGGGTCACTTGGGGCTACGGATGAAGTCAAAAACTCAAGCACAGATACATGGGGCAACATCAAAATCCCGATGATCGAGCACTTTTCGCATTATCCTCAGGTCAAGAGCAATGAATGGGTTCTGCTGGACCAGAACCAGAACGAAGTTGTGTATTCAGCAATTATCGGAATTCCCGTCGCCAATATTTCTCGAAGACACAGGTCGGACTTCATTTTAGAGACTTCATATCTGAAGTTAGACTGCACTGAGCTTCGCAATTTCACAGGAAACATCTCCGAGGCGGTGGACCCCAAGCGCAAAGGATGCGCTGAGATTGACGGCTTGATCGGAAGCACCTGCAATTACAAATTCAAATGGGGAGGACTTGCCACTGTTCCCTACCCATATGGGATGCAAAACGCATCACGATCGTATGAGCGCTGTACTGAGCCTCGAGTTGCAGCTAGGGGCTTGCATTACTGGAACTATGAATCTTACAAAGGAAGAGGTGGGTATACACTTGCCAAATGTTCTATGACCACGTCATTCGTCGACGTTCGCGTCTCGTGCTTAGGGTGGAACTGCAAGGCTGTGGCCGTACGACCGTCTGCGTCAGCACCAAACGTATGGCAGCATACAAACAGAACCTTCTTCGACAGCTGTCCCCTAGAACTCGTTGGTACATGGAGTTGGTTCTTTAAGTACTTCGAGACTATAGCTGACAGCAATACCGGGGGAGTAGGCTCGACCAGTATCATACAGTCGTTCTTAGTCGATCCTGATTTGGGGCTGAACGTTTCAGCAGCATGGAGCCTCCCACCGATCTACGAGGTGGGGAAAGAACTGTTTTCGGTCCGCCTGGGCCAGCTTCTGAACACCTACTGGTGGGCTATGATAGGCACGGAGCTTTTGTTCTTGGGCCATCCCGAGAACTACGACGACTTGTCAAGATGGGACAGGGGAATTGATGGTGACAATTATGTGATTGCAAAGGCCCAGGCTACTGTATACGTAAACGTACAGGTCCTCCGATATAACAAAGCCTGGATGACGGTTCTTATTGTGGCAACTTTGGTGTTGCTACTTACAACAGTCTTGGATTTTGCGCTGAGCCTGAAAATTTGGGTCCCTAAGCTTCTCATGAACATATCAACTTTGACGAGGGGCAACCCAAACTTCGACGTGCCGGCTGGCGGCGGAGCGCTGCCCGATGAGGCCAGGGCTAAGCTTTTGGCCAACGTCAAAGTTAGGTTCGGAGACGCTGAAGGTGTCGATGAGTCCCATGATCTTGTCATTGGAAATTGTGTGGAGCATGGGGGTCGCGTGTCTAAATTGATGAAGGGGAAACTTTACACTTGACGGGCCAACTACTGAGATTACGACAGGTTCTTCTTGCCTTTTATCAGGCAAGATCTTCTAGACTTTAGCAAAGATCTCAAAAGAGAGATAGTGCCTTGATATCATTCGAAATGAGATTCAGGATGAACGCGGTCTCCATCGTAGCGTTGTAAACCAGCCCATTTACTTACCACCTCTAAGAGGATGTGAAGACCACCAGATTTCTCAGGTGGCCTATCCTTGCGAACCAGACCTTCTCCGGCATATCGGACTTAGATGGCTGTCGCAATTCGATGAAGCGAAACCGATCGGGCAGTTGTGGCGGAGAAGATTCCCGACGGACTCCTAAGGAGCTATCTCAAACCCGTGAGGGGCCGGCAAGACTGCCCCCAAAAAGAGAGTTGGGGGAGGCGCAATCAGTACCCGCGACACCCATCATTCGTCATTGTGTTTGAAATGAATTGTGACTTAAAGGCAACCTTTAGATGAGATGGCGGCGCCAGATGAGGTTCTTCGGTCTTGTTCAGACTCTCAGGTTCGCAACTTGTACGAATACTGAAGTGCTGCTCTAAACAGAAGACGGCGTGTTGCAGAGGACGGCGCTTGGACTGGCGCAGCTAGCGAGTCAAGACGGCCATGATAGGTCTGCGTAAGACCGAATGGAAGCATCAAATCCGGCATGGTGTAGCGGTTAGCATACTCCGCTTTCATGGAAAGTCCCGGAGAGATCCGAGTTCGACTCTCGGTGTCGGAACGCCTACATTTTTGCGGTTTGTGAGAAAGACCCGACGCCAAATAGCAAATACCGCTTTTACCGAATGTTGTGAGAGCATTTGGCGAGGCAGGAGATCGATTCGCTGATTGCTATACCTTTATTCATGACGTGGTAACTGAATTACTGTTTATGGTCTGTGCTATGTGGGCGACACCATCTAGCTGAACTCAAAATGTCATTTGCTGTACCGGTATTAGTGGCGCGAACCACATGGATTTCTACCTACCTTTTAGGCCTCACTCATTGAATTTGGACTAGTCTTACAACCGACATCACATATGATCATTGAGATGATATGTTTCGATGCTAGATTTTTTTCCTGTATTTCTTCTTCTTTCCGAAAGAGGACAGCGGATGAGTTGATCACAAGCACTGATCAATGTGCCTTGTAAGTGCCGTCACTGGCCAAAACCTCTGGCATATATCTACACATTAACCAACGCCCTCCCATCCAACCCTCTCAATTACACCTCCTGACATTAAACCCCCCACCATAATTCGGAATCGGATTCGCACTCACATGTCCAAAAAAGTACCGATGATACCGATTCGAATTCTCCCCGTCCGCGACCGCATAACACGACCCTCCCTTCCCCGGGTCGCGATCAATCACCTTCTTTCGCGCGCCAGGCCTCTCTTCTTTAACATCGACCGACATTTGGCAGTAACTGAAATACCAGTCCTGGCACTCTGCGACATAACACTGGTTCGTTAGGCCCCGTAGGGGCTCGGTGCCGAACACGTTGTTGAAGACGTCGTACATGATCAACAGAGCTTCTTTGGTGTTTCTTTGGCCGATGCGGTTGCAGGTCCAGTCTGTTTCTCCGCGCTTTTGGAGGGAGGAGGAGGAGGAGGTGTTGGTGGTGGGTAGATCACATGCTAGCGGGCTTGCGTTGCTGCGATTGAGAGCGTTGAGGAGGTCTGGTGGGTGCTGGCGATGAGTTCCGTTGGTGGTGGTGTTGTTTGCTCGCTTAACAAAGGGCGTAGATCTCTTCCAACCATCGGAGCCACCTTTGGTATCGGAGCATCCCGCGCACTGGACGAAACCCCCCTGTCCCTCGCGGAACTTTGCGTTCTCAAAGAGATCTTCACTGTTCCCTCTGTCTCTGGGGACCCGGTTCCACGGACCGTCCTCGACATCTCTCCTCTCAGGATCAGAGTACGCATCTTTATCCAAGGTGCCTTGCTCGTGGACTCTCCTGACAACTTCATCCTCCCCGTCCTCGGAAAGGTCGTCGTCAACCTCAACCTCCTCGATTAACGTCCACTCTAGATCATGTTCATCGATAACCGTCCGTAATGCCTCCATGTTGATCGGATCACCCCGCGCCACGCGCACTCTGTCCTCATCGCTCTCGGAGAAGCGGACGCCGTAAAAAGGCTTGTTATTATCGCTGCCATCATTGTGTCTCGTGCTATAGGGCCGGTTGAGAATTTCTCTGACCATGTCTTCCCCGTCCCCGTTGAAGTCCACATCCAGAATGGTTTCTCGCCGCCGGGGAGGTGAATGGGCCCGTCGCGGAGCACCGAGGGTGAGAGGGGCGGCTTGGAGGAGAAGTAGGCAAATGAGAGGAAAGATCTGATGGGAGGATCTTAGCCTTACTGCTTCAATGGTCTGGGGCCCCCGTCTAGACACTTACCATTGTGCAGACTTCGAACGGGTTCTCTAGCGAGCGAAGACGTTCGTTCTGTTTGAGTTGCCGTTACGGTGAAGAACAGGAGCGAACAGAGAGCGCATAAATCTAATCGAGAGGTAGGTGTTGATGGCCTTTTTGACTGATTCTGGACGAAGCAAGGATCGGATGACGGTCGTACTGCCCATTTTTACAAACAAAGCTCAGGTTAATGGCCAAGGTGCCGAAGCCAAGGGAGGACAGAAGCCTTCATTCAGAATCCTTCAGAGTCAATGAAAGTGACCAGGCCAATCTCTGCGGAGTAGGCACGACTCTTGAGCCACTCTCGACGAGAAGACATATGAACAATCAAGGAAAGGTGTATTGATGGTATCGAGGGATACTCTTGTATCCGGTGCGGCAAAATCGCCGATGCTCTAAATCAAAGGAACCACAACTCTCTAGCGCTCAATGGCGCCGACGTCTATGTTCTAGGTATCGCAATCCTCCTCTCGCTACTCTTGTGAAATTACACAAATACTACATAGAACGTACAACTCGCCGAATCCTATACCCAAAACCTAGAGTTTAGTTATTGGGTATCAGCTCATCCTCCGTCAATACTTCCAGCGCCTCTGAGCTGGCAGTTGAGCTCGGCTGGGGCACCGATGAAGGGATAGGCTCGTAAGTCTCCTCGAGGAACACTGCATTTTCGGTCAGCAAAGGAAGCTCCTTGTACAACACGAGCGGCATTGAATAACTTACCACCGGGCCGCACTATAAAGCTGGCCAATAAGGCCAGGCCAAACAAGGATGCAAGGAGGACGAAGATGGCCTGGTCAAAGACGCCGACGGTCGAGTAGTAAAGCGTGTTGAAGGCAATCGGGCCCAACACCCTCGAGAGAGCATGCAGAACGCCAATGGCGCCCAGAAGCTGGCCGACCTGATCCGCGGGCACATGCTTGGTGATGGCGGCTTGGATGGTCGCACTGCCGAGACCGCCAAAAGCAGTGACCATGCCAGAGAGCACGAACACGGCCTCATTTCTCGCAAACAGGTATCCAAGGGAGCCTGTGACGTCTGAGAGTAGGGCGAAGCGGAGAATCCAGCAGTCGACGCTGTCGGCGCCGTTGTTCGCCTCGACGATGGAAACACCCGAGACCCTCCTACGGTAGGCTGCGGGCCGCACGCGGAAAACGTAGTTGACGAGGGGCAGGACAACAAGCAGCGCGATGACGCGGACCATGGAAACGGCGGAGATGTAGCGGGAGCTCTCTAGGGTGCCCCAGCCCCATGTCTCAGGGGACTCGGAGTAGAGAAGGATGACGGTGCCGGCGCTCATAGCGGAGCCCAGGAGGATCATGTCGGTGAACGAGAGCGCGGCGATGTTGAGACGCAGCCTCGAGGAGGTGCCGGGTCCCGTGGGCCACAGCGTCTTGAGGGGAGCCAGAGGGTTGGCCGCCTTGATCGTGGACCAGGTTCCGGCACCAGCCTTGGCCTCCTTTTCTTGCTTGTGCTTTTGGCGGGCGCGGAGCTGACGCTTCACGCTGAGGGACTCGGGAACGATGAATCCGACAAAGATGATGAAGTAGATGTGGCATCCCATGGTGACGTAGAAAACGGAGAGTAAGTTGCCGGTCCAGGCGGCAAAGTAACCAGTCAGAAGGGGGCCAAAGGCAAGGCCGCTGAAGAGGCAGGCGTGAAGATATCCGATGCGCACACCACGCTGAGACGGCGCGGTACAGTCGCTGGTGTACGAGTTGATGAGAACGCTACCAGCCGTGAAGGATCCAGTGAGGCCGTCGGCTACGGCGCCGAGAAGCAGCCAGTTGTAGTGGAACGTCCAGGGGAAGTTGGCACACATGATGACGATGAGCTCGGCCACGACGCCGCCGCAGGACGCCAGAGCCAGGAGTTTCCGACGGCCATAACGGTCCGAGAGCTGGCCCAACTTCGGGGCGGTGATTGCGGACAGGATGCCGGTCAACAGGTTGATGGCCAGAGTGAACATGGACACACGCTTCTTAACCTCGGGGATGAGGCATTGCGGGTTATCCGCGCCGAGTATCACGGGTGTGAAAACGAAGGCCGGGTCCAGCGCTGTCTCATCGGCAAAATGCCTTTGGCATACCAGATCGACGATTCTATGTTGCACACGAGATTAGCGACTGCGATCGGCCGCCAAGACATCACGAGATCATTTGTGACATACAGGTTCAGCTTGGGCACCAGAGAGCCTCCAAAGGCCAGCGTGAAGAGAGCATACGGGATCAGAAGCCAGAAGACCTGGCGCACAGAAAGTCAGCACGATTGTTCGGGACCAACAGGGCGGCCCGAGCCGGAGACAAAAAAGAGAGAATCCTACAGAGGGAGTCCTCCACCACGGCAAATGTTCGAAATCCGCATAACCCGGCCATGTATCTTCGCAGGAGCTTTCGCCGTCGCGAGCGCCTGCGCTCAACAGCGATGTGATCTCTGTTGCCTCGTTTATGGGTTTCCCGTGGACGTCCTGATCCACCCGGGTGACAATGATGTCGTCTTTTGGTGCCGACATTTTTTGACTATTTTGGAGTTGTTATTGCTGCTCGTGCGCTGTATCGAGTTCGGGTGTCGTGTAATGTAGCTTGGTGCAG